TTCTGCAGATAAAAATAAGCAAAAAAGTGCATATAAATGTATGTCCCAAAATGCTTAGTTTCGGAGATACAGTGTTGGGGGTGTAGAAGTTTCATTTTTATTTCGATTTTTTCCAATTAATTGCTGAAGTAAGGTCAATATTTGCATGAAAATTGGTGTGTGAGATTTTATTGATATGAAAAATATGATTTTGATGTCAATCTGACTCATATTTGTGGGCGCCACCTACATGTGTCTTAACTGTTTAGAAGAGTAATAACTTTTTTTGTCCGTACCCGTATAAAATTTGTAAATGAAAAAATATACTTTTCCGTGATATTTTACGTAAAAAATGTCAGTTTCAACTCAAAGATCGTTCTCAAGATATTTAGAATGGATTTAGTCAATAAATGTCATTATTGACAAAAAATAAACATGCATGTTGAGTATACAGGGTAGTAGTATACAAATACGAGGTACCAGCATTGGTATCCCGGAAACCGTAAGAGATACGAAGATGGTTAAATTGGGGCAAAGTTGCGCTTTGGGATGTTCACCAAGATGCCATCAAAAAAGTTTTGAAAATTTCAAGGATTGGTGAGTTTTTTGGGAAAAACGGATTTTTTTGAAAATCAATTTTATTTTTTCCTGTCGTTACTTTTTAGAAAATCGAAAAACTAATTGCACATTCTCATAGCCACTTTATTAGGGCTAACTGATAGCATTTTTGGATTTTTAAATTATCTGATAATTTGTGGGATACAGAGGCCAACTTGATTTTTTTAAATACGGACCTGCATTTTTTATTTCAGATTTTGAAAGAACTCGGTCTCCTGAGTACAATGATATGCCACACTTAATATTTTTTTTGTTTCGGACATTTGAACACAATTTAATTAAACTAATTTCAAGTCCGGCTCTGGTTTTTTAAATATTTAATCTATTCATCGTTACAATATTGATAGGCTTTCAAACTTAACAATGACGTGAGGTAAAACATTGAATACGGAAAATCAAATGCAATAAAATAATATAAAATTATTGGGCATTACTTGAAGTGATATCAATACATTTCAGAGCACAGAATGCATTCGGAAATATAAGAAGATATGTTTAAAGAGCTATAAATCAGATTGAATGAAAAATACATTTGTGCATTAGGGACGGTGATAACCCTTTCGAACCTGTAGAGCATTGGAAACTAGTTTGTAGAAGTTGATTTATTTATAATAACTATGATTAATATTATGCATATTATTAGATCGCACACGGAGATTTCAAATTCACAATAATAAAAGTTAAAAATAATATTTTCAAATTGCTGACCTGGATATTATTTATTTGAATCTTTCAATGGGCTAGATTTTCCTTATTCAATGTTAATTAGCGCTGATCATAGATTTAGGAAGAACAGATATCACATTATGCATTTTAACCCGATCAAACATTCGGAGGTTGAGTACGTACTGTAAAAACCAACTGAGATAGAGAAGGCGACATTGCTACATATCAAATTTGCGCCTATCTACTTAGTTTGATTTGCAGAATAGGTGACTTTAAAACCTTCACCGGATATCAATAAATCTCAATTTCTTAATTAAATTAATAGTTTATTTTTAACTTATTTACTATTAAAGGACATGTTTACTGTTTAATGTGCTGAAAAGTCTAGAACTATTGGCAACGTCGCTGCTAGTCTTCCAGAATGAAATGAGCCGTCCGTCCCACCACCCCTCGCGACGGCCCATGGTCCGTTATAGCGTACTACGTTTAGCTTACGGTGTGTTTGAAGTCGGAATCAAGTCCGAAGTGAACTTTTCAGTGTTTTTCAGTAGTTCTTGTTTTTGCTTAATGTACTTTTGAATCTGCGAATTTTCAATATGGTACGACAGTGTCAAATGTGTGGACAAATAAGCTCAAATTACCCGAATTTGTCTTTTCATAGGTAGGTATTGTTTCCGCCGCGCCGTAATCGTACATAGGCGTCCCACAAGGGAGCCTCTCACAATTAAAATAATTTCTAATTATATTTGTTGAATTTTGATCTCTTAAAAAAAGAACGTAGTAGCCGGTAATTGGATTATAATTCGTCTCAATTACTACCTAACTGATGTAGATCATAACAAATTTGAATATAAACGTTACATTTGAAACTTTATTATAAGCCAGAAAGTGACATTTTTTTCTTAAAATTGCGTCGTATTTTAGTCATTATATACGATATTCTAAAGGAATTTTGCTCAACAAATAAACAAAGGTGTTTACCCGACCTTTTTTACATTTTATTGCTTTATTATATCTGCCCCTTCGGCCTTGTTTAGACAATTTTTACCACCGTACAAATACATCTTCCTAGAGTTATTTGTACGGTGTGTTTAACTTTTTTTAGAATGGGACGAACTGTAAATAATTCTTAGGCTACTAGTTTTATACATACCTATATAGAGAGTGACCCAGGCCTCCAAAAAAGCTTTTTACCTATTACGTTTTTGGTTTTTGATTTTTATTTCTTTTTTTTACATAAGATGGGGGCCATTGTAACGCACATTTTCAAAATATTTTTGTCAACATACAGGGTGATTCAAACCGCAATACATATGCTTAATACAGTTCATGAAGATTAGGACATTTAACTAAAATTTGATTATCTGATGAAGCTACCTTTAAAAGTAATGGATTTGTAAATAAACGTAATAGGTATTCATTATTATGCGACAGAAATCCCATATCTACTGTAGCACACAGATTTTATACTTTTAATGATAAATGCCTTCTATTGCGAGACTAAAAGGCAATTGCCTCGTATCAGAGCCATCATAATACAAGAAAAAGACCGAAAGTCAAATCTTGTCTTATATTTTCAAAAAAAGACACAATTTTCTCATTAAATATTGATTTTAGGTATAGGAAGTTATTAATAATACAAGATTAAACAACTATTACACAGTACTTCACAGGAAGCTATCGATTGCGAACTAACTAAATCGTTACTAATTAGGTACTAATTTTGAAAAGCTCTTTTTAAGAAAAAAAAAAGGTAAAACTAAAACCTAAACTATCATTTGAGATTAAACGGGAAGTTCTAAATAATGTCGCCTATTCTAAACAAGAAAAATTTATTTATAAGGTAAGTTTTATAACATTCCTAATTAAATTTGGGCGAAAAGAATATTTCTGTTTGCTGTAGGTAATTTTCTCAGGGAAAATACGTAAATAAAAATGACTTTTTAAGTCAAAAAAAGTCAAAGGGACAAGTTATTCCAAAAAAGGACTGTCCTTTTCAAAAAAGGACAAGTGGCAACCCTAGGTATTTCTGGAATGGAAATTTAATGGCAAATCTACAACTTTGGTTTGAAAATATGTTCCGGCCACCTATGTTTACAAAAATGTCAAAAATGTGCCTAAATGCCTCCATATTCTGAAAAAAAATTGAAAGAAATGTCACCAACCACAAGCCTAATATAGAACTGTTTCGGAAGCCTGAGTCACCCTGTAAATATTCAAAAGTAACTGAAAGTTTAAATTGAAAATCGACGTTGGAGTGATTTTCGAAAACTATTAACGTTTCAACATAAGTATATGTGGGATATTAATTGTATTATTATATTAGACCTTATAACAAAACTCATCTGACGAAAAAAGTGTTAATGTAGTATATTAATATGGAGTAAAAATTTTACTAATTACTTTACTTTTACTTTACTAATAAAATTCGTTCCAAAAAACGATACGCCACTGGCCATTAGAACAATCGAAATGCGCCTGGTTGCCGGGGTCGGAAATTTTAGACTTCTCTGTCTCTTCTGTCCTTGTTTGACACATTGGAATGTTTGATACACTACCAACGAGTATTTATGAATGAGATGTTCGGTCTATCTTTATAATGTCTTTGGCGCTGATCCATATTGTTGAGATGAATATAATCAGATTAAATAATTTAAAAAACCAGGTTCGGACTTGAAATTATTTTAAATAATAATTAAATAGTTTTGTTATTCTTCAGGTACCTAAAACAAAAAAGTTTCAAGTGTGGCATATCATTGTACTCAGGAGACCGAGTCCTTTCAACTTGGAATAAAAAATGCAGGTCCGTCTTTGAAAAAATTAAGTCGGCCTCTGTATCTCACAAATTATCAGCTAATTTGAAAATATAAAAATACTATCCGATAGCCCTAATAAAGTAGCCATGAGAATGTGCAATTAGTTTTTTGATTTTCTAAAAAGTAACGCCAGGAAAAAATAAAATTGATTTTCAAAAAAGTCCGTTTTTTCCAAAAAACTCAGCAATCCTTGAAATTTTTAAAACTTTTTTGATGGCATCTTGGTTTGGTTTGGAAGAACATTTACTGGTTTGGTACGGAAGAACCACCATTTATTACTCTTCAAACCAGTTAAAAATATGTAGGTCCCCAAATGGCGCCCTCTACAAGTAGGAGTCATATTGTGATCAAAATCAAATTTCTCATGTCAAAAAACTTCCAGACACCAATTTTCATCCAAATATTGAAGTTACTTCAGAAATTATTTGGAAAAAATCGAAATAAAAATGAAAGTTCTACACCCTGTATCTTCGAAACTAAGCATTTTAGGACATACATTTTTACTTATTGTTATCTGTAGAATATCCTGCTGAAGTTTCCGGAATATAGTTCGGACCACCCTGTATACCAAAATAGTCTCAACTGTATTTTTCCTTATCTTCTCTATTAACATAATAAATTGCTTCCGTTAGCAACATTGTATTTGTCGGCTCTACTCTAGAGAATAAGAAGAGAATTTTAATTTATTATAGGAGATCTTGGTGATTTTTTTAAAATAAAAACTTATTACAATATTTTAAAGAGATGCAACGCATCACCCGCATCAAATTAATCTTTGCCGCTGTGCACATCGCGTACCGTGATCGAACTACAACTAATAATTTAGCAGAAGTCGCTCCAGTTAATACTGGTTCGATGGTCACTCGCAATTTCATTTGTTATTTTTTACGGTTATTTTGCGGTTTTTCACACGTTAGTCGTGCTTCGATTCCTAGCCTACTAGGATGGATAGTTAGTAAATAAGAAGATGCCTTTATTTTTATTTATTTGAGAAAATTAATTTAATTTTACTTTTTTACGGAAATTATGAATACCTAGTTTTTTAAGTGTTTCATTTAGTTATATTTTTTGTTTTTTTTTCGGGATTTTTGGTGCTGGTGAATGATATGGGGTTAGTTGGTTTTATCATATTTATTTCAAGAATTTTGGATAAGGGGATATTTGAAGGGGTAAGTTATTTTGCATCTGATTTTATTATCTATTTATTAATATCTATTTATAGTACTGTTGTTATGGTATTAAAGTAATAATATATAGAATTTATGAATATAAAAAATGTGGTAAAAACACAAAACCATAGCAAAATCACTTGTTTTTTTTCATATTCATCAACTTGGAATTCCTGAATAAATTGCCCATATACAGGGTGAAGCTTAAATAAGTGCAAATATTTTCGGGACTGGTAGATCTCGATAAAAGGAACATATTTTCTCTTTACCGTTTTTCAAATAAATCCAAAATAACTGAGTCATTTTACTTTGAAAATTTCCAAACAAATGATTTTTTGCGAAAATTTTGAGAACCACTGTATGTTTTCTGGATTTTCTTTCTTGTAAATTTAATCTGCTACCTATGTTGCCATATTTTCAAGAAATTATGTGTTTTAACTAAAAACTAAAAAAAAATCCAAAAAATTTCGAATTTTGAAAAAAAGATTCGCGAAAAAATCGTGTTTCTGGGGGGTCGAAATATACTACCCCTAAAAATATTTGCACTTATCTAAGACTCACCCTGTATTATAAAACCTCAAAAAAAGTCATTTTGAAAACGACTTAAATTTTAAGTCTTAACTCAGCTTTCGAAAAAATGATTTAAAATCAAATGATTTAAATCAAAAAGACAAAATACTTTTCTGTGAGCTTGCAGCTCTGGTGCCAATTCAGCATCTTGGTACGAACTCTATGTTGGTACTCCAAAAATCGTCTTAAACGAAAAAATCACAAAACTGCAGAAATTAGATATTATTATATATAACACTCTTTTAGCTAAGTATTTTTAATGTATTCTTCCACTGTTTGAATGTTTTCTCACAACTAGTACATACGTATACAGGGTGGTCCAAATCGAGGTCTCAATTGTATTTCGGAAACTTCAGCAGCATATTCTGTAGAAAAAAAATAAGTAAAAAGTTCATATATATGTATGTCCTAAAATTCTTAGTTTCTGAGATACAGGATGTAGAAGTTTCATTTTTATTTCGATTTTTTTTAAATAAAATCTGAAGTAACGCTAATATTTGGATGAAAATTGGTACCTTTGAGAGTATTATAATTGGTACCTGGTAGAGTTTTTTGACATGAGAAATTTGATTTTGATGTTAATATGACTCCTAGTTGTAGAGGACGCCACCTACATATTTTTAACTGGTTTGAAGACTAATAACTTTTCGTTCGTACCTGTATAAAACTGCTGATTAAAAAATATACATTCGCGACGTTTTCTACGTAAAAAAGGTCTTTTAGTGAATATCGCTATGAGCAATGGTTTTCGAGAATTTGGAATCGAAATTATCAATACCTGTCATCATTGACATAAATTTAATATGTTGACTAAATAGTTATTAGACTAAAATCATAAATTTTAAATGTTTTTGTACCAAAAGTTCAACAGAAACTGTTTTATCATCATTTTTTCGAAGAAACATTTATAATTAATTTAAAAAAAATCGGTAAAAAAACTTTTAAGTTAAACGGTTTTATCTTATGTGCACTGAAAACTAGAAAATAATAATATCACCTATTTTTTTTATCTGTCCTTCTAACGTCACACAATCTTGGACACAACTGTTCTGGACACGAGTACTCATGCCCTCACCTAATACGCCATTTTGTAACGACGTCCATCTTGGATTTTAAATTTTGTCATAATCACAGTATTCTACTAGTGTAGCCCTTTCATTTGATACCCATATTGAGGGGGTTGTGGAAAAATATGAAATCCGCCATTTTGTACCGGCGGCCATCTTAGATTTCCAATGTTATTGATACTACTATATTGTATTGTCATCGGAACTAAAGGTGTGTACCAAATTTCAGATCAATCTGACAACAGGAAGGTACTTAAATTTCAATTTCTAATTTTGACCCAAATAAACAAACAAATAAATAAATACCGTACGGGTCGAGCTAAATAAAACCGTTTAAAAATAAAAAGTTCCCAAATTTATCATTTCAGTCAAATTACTATCTACTCAACATGTTTATTTTTTGTCAATGACATGTACTGACTATTTTCATTCTAAATATCTTGAGAACGGTTCCTCGTAGCGATTTTTACCAAGAGACATTTTTTACGTAAAAAATCACGAAAATGTATATTTTCTTACTCAGTAGTTTTATACAGGTACGGACGAAAAGTTATTACTCTTCAAAACAGTTAAAATACATGTAGGTAACACCACCTACAATTAGGAATCATATTGACATCAAAATCAAATTTTTCATATCAAAAAACTCTCAGACATCAATTTTCATCGAAATATTGACGCTAGTTCAGAAATTATTTGGAAAAAATCAAAATAAAAATGAAACTAAAACCACACCCTGTATCTCAGGAATTAAGCATTTTAGGACATAGGAACTTTTTTACTTATTTTTATCTGCAGAATATGCTGCCGAAGTTTCCGGAATACAGTTCGGATCACCCTGTATATAGAGTATCGAGTTACGTTACTGTGAAAACTTTTTTTTGCTTAAACTTTGAGTGAACCACTCACAAAAAAATAAAAAAGCAAAATTAAGCTCAAATTTTTAAATATCCAGCACGTAAAAATATCAAGAATAAATTTTAATAAAAAATATATACTTATAAGATAAGAAGATTTGAATATCAAAATCCTACACTAGATTAATTATAAATTATAACGAAATCTTTTTAAGAAGATTTCGCGTTAATCTGACATTTTAATCTTTATTATTCTCAATAAAAACGGGTTTCGGCCCAACCCAACGGCCGTTAACTACATCAATGGTATATGTTAATGGTACAATTTATATACCCACTACGGTTTATATGTTACGGTTTTTCTTAACACGATACGCTCCCTATATTATTATTTTTATCTGCCTTTTTATGATTTAGATGTAACGATAGATAATATACAGGGTGAGTCTTAAATAATAATAATAATAGCTCCCGTATATAGCGTTTAACGCCTTGGGAGTAGCAAGGTACAGTTTGCCATGCTAGAGCCGTTCGGTATACAAGGAAGGTAATGTGGCTAGCACTCTACGCTTCAACCGCCTATTATTACCTCAGGATTTTGAATCTCAAGTACTCATTTTTAAGGCTGAGTCGACCTAGGTACCCAAACTATTTTTATTTTAATAAAAATAGTCGGCTGATGAAATGCCGGGTGTAGGATTCGAACCCACTACCTTGAGATTGGTAGATGAGAGCCTGTACCTCTACTCCACCGGGCACCTTGAGTCTTAAATAAGTGCAAATATTTTTTTTAAAAGAAATATATTTTCTCTTTACCGTTTTTGAAATAAATCTAAAATAACCCAGATATTTTACTTTGAAAATTTCCAAAAAAAATAATTTTTTGCTAAAATTTTGAGAACCACTCGATCTTTTCTGGATTTTCTTTCTTGTAAATTTAATCTACTACCTATGTTGCCATATTATCAACAAATTATATTTCTTAACTAAAAACTAAAAAAAATTCCAAAAAATTCAAATTTTTTTTTGCCAAACCACTTCATAATCGTGTTTCTGGGGTCGTCCCAAAGTCTTAAGTCATTGCAAAATAAAAACTGTGTGTGTTACACAGCAATGACTTAAGACCTTTGGTGTTACACAGCAAAATAAAAACACTAAATCACCACAATACACCAAAACACTTTTACTTTTACACTGGATAACATGGTTAGCGAAACGCGCGTCCAGTGTAAAAGTAAAAGTGTTTTGGTGTATTGTGGTGATTTAGTGTTTTTATTTTGCTGTGTAACACCAAAGGTTCCAACCCTCAACTGTAATCTTAAGTCATTTCTAAAATCAAAATGATTTAAATGTTAAGTCAAATTCAACATGAAGTTCAAATGATTTAAGTCTTAAGTCTTTGGCTTAAGTCATTTTATTTCAAGTCAATTCATTTTTGAAAAGACTTAAATCAGTATAACGTTATTTAAGTCGTTTTTATGACTTAAGTCTATATTTTTGACTTAAAGCATGATGATCTGCAAGTTAAGTCAGTAAAATGACTTAAATGAATATAATTACCCCCAAGTCAAGAAAACCAGAATTCAAGTACCTTTTGTAGTTAAATGTTAATATTAAATATGTTCTCTGTGATATTAATTTTCTTGTATTATCAATTAGCTTTTTTTACTAAGGATCATATTATTACAGATGAGATTAAAACCATATGAAATAAAACGGTTTTTTTTCACAACAACGTCCTCTGCCGGAAACACTGCGACCTGTGAGGCCTATTGTGTTTGTCCCCTTTCTATATCTGCACCCATTCTCCTATCCCTGTGCCCTGCACTAACTTATGCAGGTCCTTGATAGGATGGGAGCATAGTTCTTCCGGTTCTAGCCTAGCTTTCCCAAATAAAGTGTCGCTTGCGATCCAGAGCCTCGCAGTGACATATTATGTGCTCCGCTGTTTCAGGTTCTTTATCGCAGAGTCTGCAGCAAATACTTCCTTGATACAGTTTGAGCTTGTTCAGGTAACACTTGACAGCTATGTGTCCTGTCAAGAGGCCTGTTGTAATCCGCAATTTATTCCTGCTTAGCATTAGCAGTTCTTTTGCGGTTTTAGAGCTAGATCCTTGGATAAAAGCCTTGCTGTGCCTGTGCCCCTGTCTGTTTCTCCAGGGGACATTCTGCTTTTCCCTGATCCAGAGTTTTAGTGTACTACGGGCCATACATTTGGGTATTCCCAGTACTGGGTCTGGACCAAGATAGGATGCCGATGATCCTTGCCTAGCTAGCTCATCGGCTTTTTCGTTGCCTTGGATGCCGCTGTGGTCCGGCACCCAGAATAATTTAATTCTGTTCCTTCGAGCCAGAGCTCCCATTTCACCTAGGCATTCCCAGACGAGTCTCGACGATACCTTTGGGCTCATAAGCGCCCCAAGTGCCGCCTGACTGTCTGAGAATATATTGATGAGCTTATCTGAATAAGCTCTTCTATTGTTTTCTCTCGCACATTGTAGAATGG